AGCAGAAAGCTCAAACAATCATCGGAATGCATCAGAATCACCATTCTCACCTGGCATTTGCATACAAATATCAAAGCACCTCAAGGAACCCCGTTAGCTCCATCATAACACAGTGCCTCCTTTGTTTTCCATTGCCATCCCAGCATCCTCATGTCCAAAGCCATCTTCATGTACCTGGCAGCTGCCCTCTGTCTTGAGCTTATGTGGGATAGAAGGCACTCTTACTTCCTCATTTTTATCTTTGTGGCCCAAAGATAATATATATATAAATGTTATAAATAACATTACATAAATCACTCAGATCTCAAGTCTGGAGCCCCTCTAAATTTCACTCTTAAGACTGGGCTCTTCTTATCCTGCCACACTGCTGTGAAATGGCCATACACGTTATTCAAACAATATCCAGGTGTGGGTACTTATGCTTACCAAACCCCTATTCTATTGTGGGGTACTTTTGCTACAATTTCTTTATACTAAGCCAAGGCCAGTTTTCTTGTAATTTCTCACTCATTGGCTCAGATTTTGCCCTGGAATGCTCATATCCTAGGTGTCTCATCTATTCACATTGTTTTAATACCTATAATATGCTGATGGTGTCTAATCCCAAATGTATTATCTAGTCCAGGTCTTTCTTCTGAGTTTCAGATCCTGAAATCTAATTGCTTACTTAAGAGTCTCACCATGAAGTTAGATGTCTCATAGGCTCCTCCAACCCATCAATTTTTGAAGAGTCCCATCATCCACCCATCCTCACGGCAGAGTTCTGTGAGGCATCCTTGACACCCACTTCTCCATTGACACTCCAAGGAGTCACACCAAGGAAGTCCCATGCATTCTTTCTCTATAGTACATCTCAAATGCATCTAATTCTCCTCATTTCTGTGATGCCACCATCTTAGAGTACACCATGTCCTCTTCATTGTCTCCCAACTTTCATTTCTATTCATTTCATGCCTGGCTCTCAGACCCTACCCTGCACAGCAGCCAGAATGAACTCTGGGGAGAAAATCTGATCAAAATTCTTTAATGGCTTTCCATTCGTCTTTGGATAAAGTCCAAACTTCTTATGGCCAACAAGGCTCAATGTGATCTGGTGCCTGAATTCAGTGAATATCCAAGACCCATTGCCTGAATTTTGTCATTAACATTTCATACTTGTCTGATCATATTTCTATCCATTTATCCATCCCTATATCCTAACACTAATTTGTCTCACATTGAGTACATTCCACAATGAACTGCAGACTCCAGTCTTGGTCTCATCATCCCCCTGTTCCCTAAACTCCAGCCATAGTCATCTTTCCATCCCTTAAGCCTGTCACACTCATTTATATCTCTGGGTTTGTCTACCTAACGTCCCCTTCTACTAAAATGCTTCAACTTTTGCTAATTCCAGATTCTTCCTTCAGTTCTCAGCTAAGGCTGTCTCTAAGAGGTTGTCCCTAAGTCCCTAATCTAAATTAGATCCACCTTCTACCTTATATATGACCCCATGGCCCCTTGTGCCTTTCCTGAATATCACTTCTCACAATTGGTAACTACATATTTATATACAAAAGTATTTCTCTAATGTCTACCTCCTTCACTTGACTGCAAGCCCCATGAGGACAGTAGACCATGTCTGTACTGGAACATGCTGTATCACATTTGCAGAAAGTCAGTATTTGCTGAAGGAATTAAGGGCAGAAGCTCTGCCGGGGGGTGGGGAGCACCCCTCATCAACAAGGGTACCTGCCTAATGAACATTTGTATACTTAACCCTGAAATGTGTCCCACATCTTTAAAATAAAAAAAATTTTTTTAAAGGAAACAACACTTAAAAGGAGCTACATGAAATCTGAACTTGTTCTTTCTTTAATATGTGCAAATATGACAGCTTTTAAAAAAGCCTCTGAGGGAAGATGGAACTCACTTGCTGCCAAAAAATATCCAGAAGTACATTCAGTAAAGATAACAGTGGCTATAACGTATTCAGAGCATCTATTGAGGGTTGGCTTTTGGTTAGACATTGTCCTGAGTGCTTCTCTGTGTGAAATACTTCTTTCTTAGGTATAGGTCCTATGGTTATTCCCATTCTACAGCTAAGGAAACTGAGAACAGAGCAGTCATTTTAAAATATTCAGTCTATGTAGAATATTCTGTCTGTGGCTCCATTTGAAAGTAGGAAGATTAATCTAAAAAACACACAGACTGCTGTAATGACTTCAACAGAACTCTAAATATACAGAAAGAAATCCACATATAGATAATTGAAGAGATGAGCCCTTGGTTAGGAAACTTGGAGTTCCAGATCTTAAAATAGCAATCAAACCATGTGCTGACTTTATTTTTGTGATAATTTCAGCCCCACCGGATGCCCTTTCTCATCTATAACCTTAATATGCACACTTTCCAATTATCCCTACAAATAATTTTAACCCAGATGGAAAACCAGTGTATACCAAGGATAAAACCACTGTACTCTTTCCCACAACAGGAGTTGACAGTTAAAGAAAATGAGGCATGCAGAATTTCCTGGGGAAGAACACAGGCAAAGACACAGGATCAAGCTTGAAGACAAGGTTTTCCCCCACTGTGTGAATTTGGCAGTTTAGTAACATCTCTGGTCCTCAGATGCATCTGTTTCCTTATTTGAAAATGGAGCTGCCAACATTCATTTAGCAGAGTTTGGATATACTGCAATGCTACCTATAAAGTGCTCAGCACAGTGCTTGGAACATAGAAGATGCCCGAAGATGTGAACTTTGAAAGGAGAGAACGAGAGGAAAAGACAGGGCCCTCCCTGCCTTTAACGCCCAGCAGAAAAAAAGGAATAGGAAATGTGCATCTTGGGAGGGGAGCTGGGGTAAAAGCATCCTTCAGTATCCGCACTGCTCTTAGAGGGATGAACTTGCCTGCAGCCACCACTTCCAACAGCAGATTGAGTTTAGAGCCCTTCACACTGACTCCACAGCAAAAACCCTTTCATCTTGAAATAGAAGACTACAGTGTGGAATGACCTGAGCAAACGGAAGAAAAATTTAGCTATAAATGCGAAGCTGATATTTTGGAGGAAAAGAAACCTGACATAACTGAACAGGTTGGAGGAAAATGCTGTAATATTAAAGGAAACAAAAGCAGAGACTACAGAAGGACCTAGAAGCTAACTCCCCAGTAAGCGGGTTTAAGTTAATAATGGGGAAGAAAACTTTTGGCACAAGCCCCCAAAGAGAAGATTTCTAGCGAAGAGTATTTTGACCTGGTGCCTTTCAAGGTGTACTGACACTTCCGAAGACGGCACAAGAAGAGGGGAGACTCTTCCCCAGGCTTGGCCAGCACAACTGCATGAATGTTCCCTAAAATGAATAGGTTAAAGCCACAGAGAACTTCTTACTCTACCCAACCTTTGGGATTTACATCGTTTATACTCCTTTTTTTTTTTCTTCCCATGCCTCCACTAAGATCAGATGTAAAAACTTGAAAGACTACTGAGAAATAAAAATTTATTTAGTTTTGAATATGTTTTTTGTGTGTGTATGTGTGTGTGAGAGAGAGATTTAAGAGGTTAATTCTCACATCTTAGAAAAATTTTCAAAAACTCTTTGCTATAAATGCATACCTCATTTTTGACTATATGAATCCAGATATTCTATCCAGAATTAGAATTTTCAAAAATGTGATAAAATGAGAACAAAGGGCCCTGAGAGCAGTAAGGATGTCATTTTTAACTGATTTCTTCATTCCACAGCTGACACTCCTATATACACAGCCCCAATTTGGCCATCTTCTTGGCTTGGTAAGTTTCACTTGCCTGCATAATGTAACAGAAGAAAACATGGACGGCCCTCTTTCTTTGTGGTCACAAACAGAAATAAATGTCAAACAGACCCAAGGCCAACTTCTTTCTTGGATGACATGCTGAGGTGCAGAGCCAGTCATATGCTCTCTGGTCACTGGGTCCATGACAAAGCTCTAAGACTGAGGAAGAATATCTTACAATCGGGTTGTCACCATGCAAATAAAAAGAATCAGTAAGGATGGTGCTCCGTGTGGGGGAGGGACAGGCTGCTCATTCTAAAAGGCATCTCTGAGCTCTAAGCTCCTGGAGCCCAAAAGCTTACCCCTCTGTTTAATCTGTCCAGCACCACAGAGGATGCTCTCCAAAAATGACGATGAATGGAGAATACATTTTCAACAGCACTGGGCATGCTTTCTACCGAAAACTTCCAGGGACGTCTATGGGAGGTGCCACCTTTACCCCTAGATGTGTGTGTGTGCCTTTTCATTTCTTTCAGAGCTAGCTTTCGTTCACGCCCCCATTGCTATCTCTAATAGTCTTCTGATTCGATTAAATAGGACAGAAATTTTAGCAATGCTCATAAATCCATACGCCTTGCAACACTGTCCTAAAGGGCCTTCACGCTATCTTCTCGCATGGATAATACCGAGTGATAATGCAACACTTTGTATGAGTGGCTATGGATAAAGGCCTACAGGGAGAAAATGAAAGCAAAATTGCAAAAGTTTGGGCATGGGGAAACTGAAATGCCGGCACTCGGTTCTCACACAAAAGGCAGGGTGAGGTTCCACCTGCTGACTTCCCTTCCAGACCCCCCACCCTCCCTCAGCACCGGGGCCAACGTCAGAATCAGAGGGAGGGAGAGGCGGTTTCACCTCTTGGCAAAGCTCAGCCGCTGAACCTCTTGCTTTCTGTGGCTGTTGATTCAGCAGAAACTACTGCTGCAGAATTCATAATGGTGATTTTAAAGGCCCCAGCGATCGCGCTGCCCGCCCCACGTGTCAGCTTCATTTGCTGGCGCCGCAACACGATTTCCCCGGCTGGCTTTCATCTCTTGCTGCTGCGCTTCCACGGGGAGAGGGGCTCGCCCCTCGGCAAGGGGCCTTTGGGATTCCGATTGTCTGGGCAGGTAACCCGGCCGGCTGGGCGATGGACCGGCAGGAAATGCGGCCGTGCCCTCGCCGCAGCCACG